TAAATTGGAAAATAAAACAGCCTATTCCAATCAGAATGACAAAGGATACAGAGACATCAGAAATACTGGTAGACATCACTACCTTTGGAAAGTGTCACAACTTGCTGAGGTGCTGGTAGAGGAAGGTGGAGAAAATGTAAAATGGATAAAACAGGAATTACTTATAAACGTCAGCTAAGGCCACATGACCAATAGTAGAAAAGAGAATTCTCCCATTTGTGGTTTTGTATTATTTAACTTAGAATGCATTTATGTAGACATTTGTGTTTTCTTGTTGGGTTCAGTAGTGTCCTGTGTCTGGCCACCATGGGTCTAGGGCCGCTTGGGGAAGCAGGACTTGGGAAGTTTGACTTAGCACACCCCACAATGGCTCTGGGTGTGGGGTTGAGAGTTCTTGGCTTGTTGTTGCTGGCTGGCTTGGGTTTTTAATCTCGGTGGTGGGGCGAGCAAGAAGGTCTTCTGCAGGAGATTATAGGGTGGCTCTGTAGGCGAAGGCCTTCTCCAATGCTACCCAAAGCAGATGCTGATGAAAAGAGACAGTCCATGGTTTTAAAGCATTTCTTTAAGTCACGATGGAGAGTGGTGATGAGTAAAAACCATACCTCCTTTTCTCAGGGCTTGCCTGAGGTTAAATATATTTTGAGGGAAGAATTATGTGGGAAGGAAAGCTTAATTGGCTACACTCTTCTGGGCTATAGGTACCTTATTAAAATAGAGATCTGTATTGATGCTATGTGACTTGTGGTCATGTCCTCTACCTGTGGAGGGGCTAGGGACTTGCCCTTACATGACTGAAGGACACAAATCTATGGAGGCCTCGTGTCAGGAGCCTGGTTTCTAGGGGCATGGCAAAACTCTTGCCATCCTTTGGGATCACCTGGAGTCACCGGGGTTTCCAGCCTGTGCTCCACCAGAAACCGGCTGCCTTCCAAGGTACTACATGACCAATTGTAGGAAAGAGTATTCACTTACGTGTGCTTTTGTTTTATTTTATGTATAATGTATTTATGTAGATACTTTTGTTTCTTTTCTGAGTTTCGTTATCAGGGGATATGATATCACTATAGAGTAGCATCAAGATAATAATGTTTCTAGACAGATATGGCCACATATTCTAAATTTATCATGTGTTTACAGTTGTCCACGTCTCTTTGTCAATATTGGGACACTGTAGGGCTTGATCTTGTGTGAGTCTTATGAATGCTGGGAAATCTCTGTGAGTTCATATGATAATCAGTCCTTTTTTCTTAGTGATACTGTTTTACTGAAGTCACCCAATACCTCTGTCCCTTATACTTATTGATCTGCTTTTCCACATAGATCTCTGATACCTGAGTGTTGTGGTTGTTCTATATTAACTGGTGGTAAGGATATAGTCCTGAAGACAAACCTTACTTATATCATCAAATATGGAGAATTTGAGCTGGTTCCTAACTAGAATGTTTACCACTGGTGATTGGAATTCAAATTGCTAGAAAGTACACCAACATGCTACCAGAGGAAAAGGTAAAGGGAATAAAGACCAAGTGGGTCCTACTACATAAAAATTCCTCCTCTTCAAATGTTCATTTAAAACAAGCAATGTACCCTCTTACAAAATGGTCCCTCATCTAAGGCTCAGCGAAAAGTGAAGATCGTAGAAAAGATCTTGAGAGTCAAAGGATAAGAAAGCAAGATGTGAACATATACCTTCTGGGATTGGCAGAAAGTACACCATGAAGTCTTACCAATATGACCTCCAAAACATAATGAGAAAAATGGTCACAGTGTGCATGACAGCTTGGAAGGAAGAAAGCTGGCAATGTATTATCTACATAACCATTTACAGGAAACTATAGACCTGGGAATGGCAGAGGTTGTCATCCTCAGGGACAATCAGAAAACAAATACTGGAGATATACTACCAATAACGAGCCATCAGACCATAAATATCTGCAACTTTACGTGGTCTCTACAATTTATATTTCAAAAAGATATGAATATACAAATACACACAGATTCAGTAAGAATTGATGACATTCAGTAAGAATTGATGAAATAAGAGGGCATGTACATTTTAGGAGTGAAGGGAGGGGCACAAAGAGTGTTTGAAGATAGGAAATATAAAGCAGTTAAATTACAATGTCAAAAAAACCCTACCAGATAATATTTTAAAAGTAGAGCAGCAAACAGAACTTTGAGGGAAACCTGACACTGACCTGCTGCACCTGATGTAAAGAAATAATGTGTGTGTGTGTGTGTGTGTGTGTGTGCATGTTTGTGTGTTTAATATGAAACCCAGATAATCTTTAGTACTCATATTTTGATAAAGTTAATGATGAGACTCTTCACCTAGAGGGATTTATATGTGTATATACTTCACTGACCTTATTGTGGTAAAGACCTTGTGTGGAATATTTCCATTAGTGGTTTTCCTCATTTAAGGAAACACAATCATTTTATAATGAAATTGTGTGTTTTTACCTAAAGTTAGAGTCTTATATTGCACACATAATCTGAACCCCCTTGTCCTTTTCATACTATGTTCCCTTCTTAGTATGTTATCTGATATTCTAAACATGTTCTTAGTTCTTTGTAAAGATATTTCAAAATCCAGCACTTTTGTGATGATCATCATAAATATGCATTACTGTCACTGTGCTTCACACTCTGCTAACATTCACTCTTGTGTCCCTTTTCAAATCAGTGCCTTTCATTGAATCAGGAGTCTATGATATTCCAAATCTCAATACAGGCAATTCACTATTTAGGTGACTTTTAGTTTCTATCACTGTAACAAACACTATGACCAAAGAAACTTGTAAGAAAGGTGTTTATTTATTTATAATCCTTGGTCACAGTATATTGAACGAAGCCAAGGCATGAAATTGGATGTAGGCACTCCGTGAAAACAAATTGAATAATGATGATTACTGGCTTCATGTCCATGTCCTCTGCAGTCCTCTTTCTTATAACTCCAAGAACAACTTGTATAGAGCTGGCACTGTCCACAGTCAGTAGGATCATCTTTTATTAATCATTAATTAAGTACATGGCTTACACACAAAACTACAGGTCAAAATGATAGTAGCCCTTCCTCAATTGAGACTCCTGGTTCTCAATGTCTTCAGGTTTGTGTACTTATGAATGAAATCATTTTCCACTAAGTGTAGTAATTGCTATGAAAATGGACAGCGCAGTCCTGTATGTAAGTTCAAATCTGTATATCACTTAAAAATTTTATATGATTAAGTACTACTTTTGCTAAGACAAAGGAAAAGATATGTTGAATATCATCCAAAATTTAATACTATTAAAGTTTCAATAATGCAACTTATCTTTGTACTTCTGTATAAACTTTGAATCTGGTCTAACTAAAATAACATAACACTTTGGGACAAAGATACACCCTAGCAACCCTGCACTAGAAGCCAAGATGGAAAAAACCTCCACAACCACCATGACCTTCCCCCTAGTGCTGTGGTAGACAGGGAGGAAGGTGATCCAGACACTGCAGAACACCAGCATGCTGAAAGTTAGGAACTTGGCTTCATTGAATCTGTCAGAAAGGTTCCTAGCCAGGAAAGCCAGAGCAAAGCTCCCCAGAGCCAAGGAACCCAAGTATCCCAGGACAAAGTGGAAGCCAATGACTGAGCCTTTGTTGCAAATAATGATAGTCTTCCCATGTTCAGATTGTATATCTCTGTCAATAAAGGGAGGAGATGTTACCAACCAGGTTCCACAGACAACAAGTTGGATTAGGGTACAAATGGGAGTGACCAAGTTAGGGGCCACTGCTGCCAGCATCCCTCTCATTCTTCTTCCTGGAGTAGTGAGCTTGAAAGCCATGACCACAGTTATTGTTTTGGCCAACACTGTAGAAACAGCCACTGTGAAAAATACTCCAAATGTTGTCTGCTGCAAGATGCAGGTGGCCTGGCTGGGATGTCCAATGAAGAGCAATGAGCAGAGAAAACAGAAGAAGAGAGAGATGAGCAGGATGTAGCTGAGAATGCGGTTATTGGCCTTCACAATGGGAGTGTCATTGTGCTTCATAAAAGTGACTAGCATTAGAGCTGTGAGGACAGAGAAGGACAGGGCCATGCAGCCTAGAGCCATCCCCAGTGGATCTTCATAAGCCAGGAATGACACAGCCCTTTGGAGGCAGTGGGTTTGCTGTAAGTTGGCATACTTATCATCTGGACACCTCACACACTGCTCCATATCTGCTGGTGAACAACAACAAACCCTAATATCATATCATAT